AGACAGAGACAGACAGAGACAGACAGAGACAGACAGAGACAGACAGAGACAGACAGAGACAGAGAGAGAGAGAGAGCGAGAGCCTTTTGACGGCAGCGGCAGGAAGATCCCGGAAAATCATTATGCATCCTGGCATGAAGTCAGCGATTGTGCACGGCAAAGCTGCGGGTTCTGACAAGGGGTCTGGTGTGGACCTTGTGATCTTGATCTTGGCCATTTTTGTCTTTGCCACCATACTGTTCGTGGGGGCTCAGGTGAAGGTTCAGATGCCAGAAAAGCCACCCATCGTGCACACTGTGAAAGATATGGTAAGCCTTGCTCAAAATTGAAACCAGTTCTGTGCGAGAGGAGACAGGAGGGCTACTCGAGGGCCAGTTACGCCTTTCAAATACCTGAAAAGAATGCTTCAAAACGTTCCCCTGTACCAACTGAATGCATACAAAACTACAGTAAAAGCAATGTAAATCCACTCGCCATGTTTTTTTTTTCTATTTTTTTGGTGAGCATGCTCGCGACCCCACGCTGCGGGCCAGGCTCCAGCCACACATTATGATTGCAGTGCGGGCTCATCAGATCCAGATCCGAGTTGGGACGAGAAGCACATTCGCTGGTGCTGCTACAAATACCGGATGGTGGGGAAACCGCCAGACACTTTCGCTGTTGGACACTCCTTTTGTCGGGGAATTGGGAGTTTCTGATGTCGCTCTGCCTGCGCAGTACTGCCCACAGCGTGTGGTGGACAAAAACATCTACCACACTGTGACCAAGATTCAGTGGCATGGCTCAATTTTGTGACACTCGCTCAAGTGGACGGCATCGTTTGCGACACTCGCTCAACGAATCGAGGCAGTCCTCCGAAAAACCCGAATGTGTCGATCTTTGTTTTCCCGTTAGGCACGTGAAGGTCCCAGTCCCGGAGCCCATGCCCACGCATGCTCCAGCTCCTTGGATCAAGTGAACACGGTTTCCACGAGCGGTTCCACTGCCGTTTTTTCAATAGACATGGCGGTTCCACGATCACTGACTCTCCAGATTGCCAACTTTTGTGCTTTGCTGGAAATCCTTTTGATTGGAAGCACAGCACACTGCGAACTGAGATTATCCACACCATCCAGCACTCCTATCATGTGCCAAGCCCACCAACATACGTGAAAGTCAACGTGCCGGGCCCGAAGATCGTGAAGCCGGTGGGCCAGCCCAGATGCCGGGGCCGGTGGGCCGGTGCTTACTACTAGGAGCGATCGGACGCTACTATGGGGCCTCCTGGCATCGCTACTAGCAACAAGGGCATTACTACTAGGAGCAAGAAACTACTGGGGGCTTCTGGCCTTACTACTAGGAGCAAGGATTTTCCGCCCGCTAGAATTAGTGCCTTTGCACTGACGTATTTCTTGCAATGAATGGTTCTGGGCAGTATACTGTGTCATGCATTGCACTATATATAGTATATGGACATTGATACATTGATCCTGCTTCAATATCTTACAGATGTTAATGTGGCATTGAGTGCTGTTTGCTGAACCAGTTCTGTCAATTCCAACGCACGACTTCCAGGTCGTTGTGAAAGACAATGTGCCGTACCCCGTCAAAGAACCTCCACAGGCAGGGACTGCGGGTACAAGGGAAGCAGAGATGCACTAGCCCTTCAATCACTACACCCACTGACTTGACTTACTTTGACCTTCAGTCTTGCTCAGATCATCAACGTCAAGAAGCCGTACCCTGTCCACATCAAGGGTGACGGTGCCTTGCCACTTCTCCGCTTTTTGTTTTGTTTTTTTTGGCGCTTGGAAAACCATCCAACCTGTCTGCCCTTCAGATCACTACGTGAAAGTTCCCGTGCCTTCTCCACCTCATTATGTGACGCACTACCACACTCAGTGGCACACAGTGGTCGACCCATTTTATGCACCTGGGCTCTGGAGTAAGTTGTGACAGTCTCGAGTCATGACTTTGACCTTGACCTTGACCTCTGAAATGACCCCAGGAGCTCTGAATTGTTCGACCTCAGGACTGCCACAATGGCCTTGACAGCTGGCACAGCCTTTGGTCTCATTCAAAGTGCCTCGCCGGCAAGGCTGCAAGGCTTTTTGAGAGATTTGTCGTACTGCAGGGAATGCCGGAAGAGCTGGTAGCGCTCGTAGGGAGTCCAGGCAACCATACTCCTTGCACTGTGCCAACACGTGGCACAAGTCCTTCCCAGGCAACACTGGTGCTGTCAACACTCTCATCTTGGCTGCCAGCCAGTCGGACACTGGGAAAAGGTTGTCCATGTGATTCACACCTATGTGGCTTGGTTGCTGATTGATGTGTATGTTACTGCAACCTGGATTTGTGCGGGGTCAATGGGACGTGGATTCGTACTTTGTGGCTCAAGACAAGGACCGAGGTATTTGTAAAGAGGAGTCCACCAAGAGTCTATTCGGAAGTGTGCAAACATGCACTTGATACCCGCAACTAGACACCCGAAGCACTCCCAAGATTGCAATGCTCAGAGGTAGGGTGGCAGCCAGAAAACACCAAAGATGGTAACTGGGTGTGGAAACCTTTCAGAACAGGCTGTTCTTGGAGGTTCAACTGATGCTTTTACCACCTCAGACTGAGGATTGCCATGCTGGATTCTCCAACTGGTACCATGGCTGGTCGGACCCAAAGAAATCCTGGTGCTGCGCTTGGGCCCCGGTGCTGGCAAAGGAATGGAACCGGGATGGCCGAAATCACCGTACACAGCACTCCAAGCGAATTCTTCAGCCAGGCCAACAAACACATGGGCTGCCCTGGAACCTGGCATGGCCACTGGCATGCTCATGCAGTGCCTGCCTTGACATTGTCGGACCTTTGAAAGGAATCAAGGTCCAGTCAAGGTCGCGTCAAGGTCTTCTATTTTGATGGGACTGTAAGAGGCAACGTGTTTAGCAACTCTTGTGACTCTTGTGCACAGTGTCTCCGTTTGACGGTTTTTGTCCCAAATTACTTCTAGACAGCGAGTGACCTTTGGCACCAGCAAGGTGGTTCACGTCGCGAAAGTGCACGGAGTGGGCAAGGGCGGTTATGATTGCAACGCTGGTGCATCCAACTGGATGCAGGGTTGGTGGCTTGGCAACAACGATGGCAACTCCCAAAGACCAATTCCCCATTGCCAGTGATTTGCCAAGCTCTTTCGTAGAAGCTACTCCGAACAGAGTTGGTAGGGCCATGTAGGGCGTAGGGACGGTAACTCTTGGATGGGGCTAGAGGAGCGAACGTTTGTGGGGTAAAGACGGTCCGTTTCATCCACAAAAAGAAGGACTACTAGTGTACTACTGCTGCAGTCATGGGAGCTGTAGTGTTTCATCTTGTTTAGGTCATCAAAGAAGAAGGACTGGTGCTGCAGCAACGGCCACAGCCAGTACTGCGTGAAGTTCCATTGCCACGAAGATACAGTCCGGCTGGCATGACTGTCCTCCTAAATCCTGTCGCATCCAAAGCAGTAGCCCTTTTCAGCCAGGCCAACCAAGCTAGCTGGGCCTCAGACAAGCGCGCCGGCCTTGGCCAACCGACATTTGACAGCGACGGCCAAAGACATGGAAAGTCCAACCGTCCAAACTAGCGATGGCCTCCGACCTAAGAGCGATGGCCTCCAACCTACTAGCGATGGCCTCCGACCTACAAGGGTTAGCTCTTTGTCACGTTTGAGGCGACTTCTGCTGCCAGAATTTCCAATTGGGCTGCCCACATACCACCTTGTCCCCACTCGGCTGTGACGCCCGGATGCCCGTCCGACGCAGATACACGTGGGGCATGTGTGTCATGCCTCAAAATTCAAGCTCTCTTTCAATGCGCCTTCACCCTTGGAGAATGTTTAGATGACCTTTTACGGTTTCTTTCTTGAACTGGCTGAGGCCCAATGCGAATTGAACGGAGAATCCTCGACCTGCCAAGAGCGCATTGACTGGACGCAGGCGTCTGGTTTGGGTTCAAGGCCCTGCTATGTGCATTGGAAGGCCCTAAGGCCTTCTAAGATTAATGTTCCAGCCTGGAAAGCCGACAAAATCTCTTTGTCATGATGTCTTGGCATCCTCTCTTTGTTCGACCCGCGCAGAAACACGTCTTTGGCGAGAAGAGCAACGGTTGCAATCTGGCCTACAGCAGGATTCAGGCGAAACAACCAGCCGCCAGCGTTTGTTTCGGCCTAGTCGCCGCTGTCGGCGCCACCGGCCCACCAGGTGGAGTGCGATGTGTGCCGTGCATGCACCATTCAGGCGGCCGAAATCACCAGACTCGGGGATGACGAGTGGTAGTCGGACAACTTCTTCCTGGTGCATGTCATCTTATGTCACGGTTTGGGTGATCTACCCCGAAGAAAATGGATGAACGAGGGATATAGTCGGATGCGTGTTGTTCATCCAATCAAGTCCTGCTAAGTTGATGCATTGCCGAAAGGTCATTTTGTGCCGAGTGCCATGTGGATTTGTTATGTTGGATGCCGGAAGACGTTTGCTGCTTTTCTTCCATTTGGGAACTACAATGCCAATGGAGTCTATATATGGCACTTTTTAAACTGGAGTTGTGGTGACGATTAGCAGCTTCCATTTATGAACGCAGTGCGAATCAGTGCGATAGATTTTCAAGCAACTTTTACGCCTTCGCCGCACTGCCCCTGCCGAATGCGTTCCACGAAGTCTGATGCGTTCCTCGAATCCATCGCTGTGGTTTGCACGTTTCAGGCCGCTGGCTGCGGAGAGCAAGGGCCAGGAAAAGCAGCGTTTGATTGTCAGGGACCCAGAGGGAGAACTTTCAGAATTCTTCTTGTTCTTCTCACAGTTTAATGGAACCATTGGAACCACTCCAAGAGAACAAAGCACAGCCAATGAGCTTGAACTTGCCCAGGCCAGGCTGCCTTGGGCAATTGGCTGAGAGCCCAGCTGCCTTCATTTGTGTTTTGGAAGACGGCGGCCAGCCAACCAATGGATTTATTTGCTTCTCCTTTTGCCAGCGGGTCTGGCACGCCCATTTTTTGCATCAATAATCAATACGTACAAAGCTGAGTCAGCTCTTCAAGGTCCTTGAAGGTCCTCAATTAGACGGTCCGTCCGAGTCTGGGATTCGAAGTAAGGTGTCGTGCGTGGTCTCCGGCCAAAAAGGTTTGGTGCTGCAAAGAGAAAGGAAAAGGCCAGACATACTTGACAATCAGCAGGGATGTTCCACCTGGAGAGAATCAATACATGACACGACGTACATACTATCGTCTTCATCTATATTCTTGTTCACGGGCGCTTGAACATGGGGAGGCTGCCAGTCTGTGAGCGCACCACCTGCCTGCGATGCTGGTGAGGGTAAGGTGTGGAAGCTACTTGGCCACCCAACCGTAACAAGTATGACAAGCAGATTAGCATGTTTTGACACGGGATACTGTTGGATCCTCACTCAGGAAGGTTTTCATCAACGGCCACTGGTCTTGGGAGGCACGAGCTTTAGCATTAGCATTAGCAGTCTCAGGCTTCAAGATTTAGACAGAAACGGCAAGTTTTTTCTTCGAGTTGCTTTCCAACCAGCAAGAAATGTGCTTTTTCCCCGGGCCGACTTTTGCCAAATTTATTCGCAGACTTGCCATGCGACAGCGACAGATTGTTGCGACAGTGACAGGCTCACATGGCACATGGTGCTGTGTCCGTGCAGAAGCCTTATGATTGCCATGCAGGCACACGGAGGGTGTGACCTAGTGCTGAGCGAAACTGCAGTGCAAGTACATGGGTCGACAATGTGACACCCCATCATCACCAGCAGCACTCCTTCTTCCGCACCTCTCATTCTGGGCCTCGCTTGAGCAGTTTTCAGGACTGGCAGGATGGGCACATGGATGGTCGGAGCCGAAGAAGACCTGGTGCGCTCTTCTCTTCGGAAGAGAAACCTGTAGTGACAAAGGCTTTTATAGGCTTTGCTGGATAGGGGGTGGTCACCGACATTCTGTGTAGGTGCTGCGGTCATGAAAAGCTTGGCTGCCCTGGCTACGTGTACCATGGGGCTGGAGCTGGTGGGAACACTCATGCACCTGGGCAAGACAGACTGGTCGATTTATGTTTCCCTGACTGGAAGAGACACATTTGAGGAAAGAGAGAGACACTTAACAACATTTGAAAAACATTATAGACGTGAATCACCATGAAATGCCTTGACTATGTTTGACCTCAGGTTGTTGTCACCCACCATTTTGTCGCTGGCGCTGCTGGTGGTGCTGGTGGTGGTGCTGGTGGTGCTGCCGGCGGCCACAGCTGGTCTAGCAGCGGCAGCTATTCTCACAGCCACCACCACGTCCATCATGTCGTCCACGTCCACCATGTGGTGCACTAGGCGCGCTGCTCCAAAGCCAGGTGCGATGACTTTCAGTTTTTCCTATTGCAGGCCATGCCAAATTCATGCTGCACGCAGCAGGTGCGATGCCTGTCAAAGAGTCACTTTGTTTTGTGAGATAGCCGAGTCACTTTGTTTCATATCTAGCGATGGCCTCCACCCTAGTAGAGATGGCCTCCACCCTAGTAGCGATGACCTCCAACCTAGAAGCAATGACCTTCAACCTACTAGCCTGAATGTGAGATCCTGTGTTCTTTTTTCTAGACCGCTCAGGCCGAGATGGCGTAGGAAGGAGAGCACAACCTCGCTCAGCATTCGCAGCACGTGTCTGAAAAGAACCCCCCAAGGGCACTTAGACTTGCTTTTCCAGGTCGAACTGAATGGTCTTTATCTGTTTTTGGCTACACAAAATCACAGCTGTCTGATGTGTCAAAGCTAAGACAGCGTTGTTTTGGCCAACAGCGAGAATCCACGTGCCTTGCACGGCACGAATGGTCGAGGGAACTTTGTTGCGAGCTGTGCCAGCGAGCGGTGCCAAAGATCTCCACACTAATTCGAGCATGCCAAGTATGTGCGAATACGGGCTTGATGGATTGATTGCCAAGACAGTTTGATTGCCAAGTATGCCACCATTTCTCCGTTTCTTCTAGGTTTGGAAAGCAATTTGTGTGTGGCCTTCTTGTTTCTGAAGGCCTGCGCAAACTGAGACCTGGTTCCACTCTTGGTGTTGATTTTGCCCGTGCTTCCAGGGTGCAATACTGGTTTGCGAGACAAGGGACCAGAGGCGAGCTCGTACACATTGTACTTTATTGTTGAATTGAGAATGACTCCACGAGTCATACGATACGGCCGGTTCAAACCTGGCAAACCGAAATGCACTGTCTTGATTGGATGCTTAAGGCTTTGTGCTAAGATTGGGCCAGACGGTTTACAGGAAGACGTGACGATGTCGTGATGTTGTCCGAAAGAAAGGGATCATTTGATTTGTTGCACCTGGCCAAATCTAAGTGCGAAATCAGAAGCTCTCAGAGCAGGTGGCAGTCCAAACGCTGGACCAAGTAGCACCTGTTCTTGTTTGCTGTACTGCTCTTTGAAAACTTGAGCCTTAGTGCCGAGAAAAGACCTCACCTCCGTATCTCCCCAACTTTCGCTACTCTGAATGGTTTTTGAATAATTCAACCCAGCATTTCTGCTGTTTTGGAGCCTCACTTGAGTTGATTGACGTGCCCGGCTAGAATTGTTTTGCTCGAACTTACTGTAGCGCAACGTTCAGCAGTTGCTGTTTTGCGCTATTTGCGCAGGCAGGTTGTTCCAGTTTTAGCCGCTAAAAGTAGAGCACTAATCAGAAGACCTGGAGAGATCAATGTATTTTGGTCCTTAATTCAGGTTTGAACAGCAGATCCTTGGTTCGCCGAAAGCTGGTATTGTTATGTTGAAGATGAAGGTGGCTGCATTTGCAGTGTGTTGCAATTGAAGTAGCTGTAGGGAGTTGATGGAAATTGTGATTGTAGTTGGAGTGGAAGCTGAAACTGTAGTGGCAAGGCCAGTGCCAGTGGATGTTGCTGTACTTCCTACACCAGTTTGTTTATGGAAGCTTGTCAAGAACTCTTTTACTTACTTTTCTCATTTCTCTTCTTATTTTGGCTCTTGATTTTTACGGCGCAGGCATTGGCAGGATGGCTCCTGTGATTGTTGCAGCCTCGGCTGGTAGAGATCAAGGTTGGAAGCAAAAAGGCAGCCAGGGCAGTCAGGCAGGGTGAACATTGAAGATTCTCCTGCGAGTTCAAGGAGGGGAGGAGCCCCAGGAGGAGCGATGGCTTGCACATTTTTGTGAAGCCCAGAGGGCTTAGCTCCACTTTAGCAGGTCAGGTGTGGCTCTTGGTACTTCGGGGCTTTTCAGCTCATGGATGCACATTTACACGTGTAACACAATGTAAAACATAGTAAAACCTACAAAGTAACTTATGAACTCAGGGACCTCCAAACCTCCGCTAGCTGCTTCTACTTTTCTTTGACATTGTTTCGCAATTTTCTCGGGCCAACAATTTTAATAGTTGAAGTTTTCTGCCGCTCCCTTTGCAACCTTTGATGTCGAGGTCGGTGGCGGTCAGTACGTCACGGTGGGCGGTGGAGGCGGTGGAGGCGGTGGAGCTGGAGCTGGTGGTGTTGCTGGTGGTGGACTAGGCAGGGTTTGGTGTATGGTACCAAGATTGCAGAAGATTCTGAAAACACCGTCTGAAAGAACAATTTCCAGATTCTGCTTCCAGGCAGTTACCTTTTCGGAAGCTTGGCACAGCTTGACTTCGTCAAGAGGGAGACACCTTTTGGGGCTCCACCTGAGGACATTGACAGCCTGGCACAAACCGATTTGGGTCGCACCACGTCTTGACACCACGTCGCGCCCAGCGCGGTGGACCCGAACACCTTGTTTTCGCCACACCGATCTATCGGTCTGTTTCCGATTTGGGGTTGGTGCAACCAATGGGTGTGTAGCAAAAAAGGAAGACTTCCCAAAGACCACCTGCAAGAAGGAACATAAACCAAAATCATCCAAAATCCATTGGTTGGGAGGTCCTCCTAGTATTGCAATACAAACCCAAATAGTGAATCAGGTCTGAGGCATCATTGAGCTGTGTTTTCGTGCTTGTGCCACGTGTGCCCCAAGGACTCATTTTTTTTTTCACAGATCCTTTGCACAACAGCACTAGTTGAAGTGGGTTGATGGCCGATACAAAGACGATGCCGGCCTTGCACACCCACACCGTGCACTATATGTCTCCCTTGAATGTGGCACTCAGGCTCTTGTTCTCTCAGGACTCTTCTACCAGAGGTACCAGGAAGGCAGCACCGAAGCCATTACCTATGCTGGTCCTGGCCCGGCTCTCATTGTCTCTCGGAACGTTTCGGGTGTAACTTTGTATCAAACATGAGGGCAGAAAGACACTTAGAGTGGATCAACGATTTGTTTGACATTTGAAAGCTCAGGTCAAGGTCACATTGAGAGCCGCCTGGTTGAAGTGAACCCAGGCAAGCCGGCCAGTGGTTTCTGCAAGAAGTGGTTCTTTAAAGGGAGATTTAGACAGGGTTTGCTGAACCTGCATGAGGTTTGTTTGGATGCCGGGTCTCCGCTCATTGCCGTATTTTTTGGCAGGCCAAGGCAGCTATGCCAAGTATGAGCAGCCAACTTATGCCTACAGGCGGGTACAGCCGGGTACAGCCATCATGGGAATTGAGATGTATGGAAGTGCTGCATATCAAGCACAATGTGCTATTTGTAAGCTGTTGGTTGGACCATCCAGAAGTAATCATGAGCAACGTGTGACGTTTACGTTTTGGCGACACAACGCCATGCACTAAATCACAGGATCACACGCTCCGCTCCAGGCCTCGCTGGGGGTTGATCAGTATGTGCACATTCTTCGGTGGCTTGGCAGACTGGAAGCTGCGTCCAGGCCTACTGGCCTTGAGCCTTGAGGCATGACCAGTCCCAAACCTGTTCAAGCTAAAGTCCAGTTTAGTATTGTAATTATGCACTGCTGAGTGCAAACTGAGTTATCTTGCTGATCTTCGCGCCCTTCTTGTTCATTTGCGAGGCTGCATCTAAACTTGCGTTGCACACTTTGCGACAACCAACAAGCAAAACCGGAGTATATAAATCATCGTATATTAT